TGCAAAGTGAAAACGGATTTTCAAAGTTGTTTCATTGAATTTCCTATTCTGTCATCTGTTTGCTTTAGTGTTTCTACATTTATTTCTAGGCAATCAGTAACTTTGATAATTACAGAAATTATTAACAATTATTAATAGTATTTTTTGCTGAAATACTATTCACTAAACAAGAATAATATTTCTTCATGTCTGCCAATATATTGTGCATATCTATTATTGAGGAAAGTCAAAATTTGATAGACCATCTAATCTTAAAAAAGATCTGCTTATCTAGGTTTAATCATGTAAAATACAGAACATGATTTTTCTGCCAGTTTAACCAAAGATATATAGAAGCAAAATGGTGTTGACATTTTTGTAGCCCATACTCAAGTTGATAATGCATATTGTTACAGTGACTTCAAATGATCAATTTTTCTTAATTAGAAGTTTTCAAAAATAACATTTTTGAAAGATGGAGTTTATAAAAAGTAGGAAAGGCAAGGCCAAAATTGTCTATGAAGGTTTTATGTATACGAAACATTCACAGCGATCAAACAAAATTCGGTGGTCTTGTGTTCGGAAATGGTCACAGAAATGCAAGGGGGCTTTGTATACAGATTTACAATGTTTGCACCCACATCAGAGGGTAGCTCATAATCACCCTGCAGATAATGCATCTTGTGTCATTGCCAAAAGTAAGGACACTTTAGCCAATCAAGCATCTGTAATGAGACAATTTGCAACTGTTAAAGCTATACAGAAAAACTCAAACTTTGCTCAAAATAGGTTTAAATTTGACATAATCAGACATGAAAGTCAAAAGTCTTCTCTTCAGAAGAAACAAAATGAAATTTATTCCAAAAAGTCAAATACAAGTCAGGAAAAATATTTCCATGGTAGGTTCCTTATATGATTTCTTTTTTCTTTTTATAGCAGAACTTAGAAACTACCTTGTTATCTCTCATGAAATTTGCTTTTGTTATATGATTCATTAGAAGCATAAGGCTTTGAAACTGACATTGAAAGATGCTTACATATTTTTTCTTGAATTAACAATGATAATAATCTTTTATTCTTTAGTAAAAGGCTAGAAATAATAATAAAAATTGTCTATTCCATTTGTTTTGCTATTATTTCTTTACATTATTTGACAAAATTATCTAAAAGGTTTATAATTGTCTTAAATTTTTAACCAGAATAGTACACACAGTCTACAAATTATAGATATTTTATATTTGATTACTTTTAAGTTTTTTGTCTATATTTCTGATATGAGGTATTATGTACATTATTTACATTATTCAGACTATTGTCCTCATCTTTGTCACCATATTTATCACAACGTTTCGACCGTTGTATGCTCCGGCCTTCTTCAGGTGGTTGGACACATGGCACAGTAGATAAAGGCATTGGTTAGATCCAGTGACAGGACCCAAAGAGTGTGAGTTCAATACCTGGTTAAGGCAGTGGAGAACTTTCAGAGGGGAAAATTAACAGGAGATAACTGATAACTGACATCCATCAAACATGGCATGTAGAACTAGAACAGTCTGCCCCAGTGAGCGAAATGAAGGGTTCAGTTCGACATTCCAACCACCTGAAGAAGGCCGGAGCATACAACAGCCGAAATGTTGTGATTAATATGGTGACAAAGATGAGGACAATAGTCCAAATAATGTAAATAATGTTTAAGTTTTTTGTTCTTTAATTTCCGGTTTTATGTTACCAAAATGTATTAGCAACAATGTATCTATCTGTATTTTGTTCAATGTCTTATTTATTTATTAATACAAAAAGAAACAAAACTTGAGTCAACCTGATCTGACTGTGTATGTTGTGAAAACTATTATTAGTTTCAAATGTTGCTCCTGAATATTGAGCTAGCAGTTTTAAAGGTACCAAGGAGATAGTGTTTCTAATCTTTTAAGGAACTAATGGGGAAAATGTCATATTTATATATTTTATACTAAAATTTTATTAATAAATTGCTTTATTCTATTGGGCTAGCCAAAAAGTCTGTTTTAAGTGAAAATAAGACACAAGTTTTAAACACTAAGTCATTTCTTCAATCAATGATATAATTATTGTTTTGTTCCAGTATCTTCTACCGTCTTATGGGCAGATCCATTATTCTCCGCTCAAAGAAATTCCTGTATTTACTGGTGAAAAACTCTTCCAGATGGACTTTTACATCTTTTTCAGAGTGGAAGGTCTGTCCATTCAATGAATCTTGAAGAGACTGAAATTGGAGGAAATCTGAAAGTGCAAGATTGGGTGAATATGGAATGAGCTGTATGGCAAAACTTTTCAGCCAAATCACAGTAATTTCTGTCACATCTGCAAAAATGTGTGCAGTCTAGCATTGTTGTGATGAAAGACAATGCACTAAAAATTAGCAAGTGCTGGACACTTCTAGTGAATTGCAACATTTAATTTATTCAGCTGTCTTGTCCGTGGAAAGAAACTTGTAAAAGACAACACCCTTCCAATCCCATCAAATTGAAAGCATAGCCTTCTTTGGGTGAAGTCCTGCTTTGGAGGTTGTTTGTGGTTGCTTGTCATGCTTCCCCCTGGATCATTTGTACTCCACATTGCTATGATCTATTTTTCATCCCAAGTTTGCTTATAGTTTCTATTTCAATATAAAAATGTTTATTTTCTTATGCCTGGTGAACTTTATTTTAGTTATTGTAAGTTTTATAGAAAAAAGTTGGATGAGAGTTTTAAGGAAGTATCTATACTGGAAATTTTCAATCAGGTTAAAAGCTAGAAACATAAGTTTGTACACTGTCTTATATTTAATGATAAAAATAACTTCATATCAAAATTGTAGAAGCATTTAGAAGTTCATTTAGGAATTTTTTCTTTGGTTATAAAGCTTCAAAGTTCATTTTAAATTGGAAGAAAAAGATTTAATGTGTTTCCAAATTGAAAAAGAAAACAATTTGACATAGTTATTATTCTTAAAATGAATGCTTTGTCATGAAAAACAGCAGATTATCTAATGTGGTATATATTGAATAATGCAATTACCTTTCATTTATTCCAGGTTGAAGAAAATTTCTAATTTATTTTTTCTCCCATACAAAAGCCATAAGCTGATATCATTTAAATGTCTGCACTTGATACATAAATCTATTATGTAATTCTTTCTGATAGCTTATGTGTTGTTTTCAAGTTGTTACCTTATATTAAATCTTCATAGATATGAGAGTACAACTCTGCAAATACACCCCTGGTCAAAATCTTAAGACCAGATACAAAAGGGTTAAAAAAAAAAATAAAATACTGTTACTTTAATCAAAATATATTTGCGAAACATTTACATTTAATTAGAAAACGTAGTTTATCAACAAACAAGTGAACATTTTAAGCTTTTAATTGATTAATTTAAACAAACATTGAAAAAAAGATTTTTTTGGTTGGTCATAAAGATTAGACTATGTAAATAAAAACAGCAAATACAGAACAAATAAGTCACAATGACAATTTAATTCTCAGTATATCCTCCATATTTGTGAATTACTTTAAAAATTCACTTTGGCATAATCATTATTAACTTCTGCATGAGGGTGCTTGAGATGCTGGCTCAGGATTCATAAACTGCAGCACGAAGAGCATCCACAGTTTCAAATTGCGATCCATGTTTATAAACATCCTTTGCCATCCATTCCCAAACATTCTAGATTGGGTTCTGATCTGGAGAGCGTTGGGGATTGCAGCATTGTCCTGCTGGAAAATCCAGTTTTCTCCACATAGATGATTAACATGTCGATGTAACTAGCAGCTGTTTGACAACCTTTTACCTCCTGTAACTAAAGAGTTCCATTGTATGAAAATGAACCCCAGACCATAGTTGATCAACCTCCACTGTGTTGTGTTGAGAAAATTTCTTTTGGGACATCTTTTGCATTCCAGTAACACTGAAAACCATCCGGGCCATCAAGATTGAAATTTTTTCTTATCTGAAAACAACACTTTCTTCCATTTATTCACATCCCAAGTTTGATAATCGGAAGCAGATTGTAAACAGGAGGCCTCTGCAGCCATTTCAAGTTCTTAAACCCTTTCTTATTTAAATGCCATTGAATTGTTCAAGAGCTGCATCAGTATCTGTATTCACTTTTATCTGATTTGATGTTAGGCTTGAATCTCTCTTAACTTCTCGCCTAATGTGTCTGTCTAGAGATGGTGAGATTATATTGGGGCGACCACTTGATTTTTTTTTAAAATCTGAAATTTAATACTGGAAATGAGCTATGTAGATGTATACACACCTGAAGCATTGAGCACACTGGCTAGTTCTAAAATTTTTGTCCAGTAATTTTTTTTCACACATGGTCTTATCTTTAATACCAACCCAAAAAATCCTTTTTTCAACATTTGTTTAAATTAATCAATTAAAAGCTTAAAATTTTCACTTGTTTGTTGATAAACTATATTTTCTAATTAAATGTAAATGTTTTGCAAATATATTTTGATTAAAGTAACAGTATTTTATATTTTTTTAACCCTTTTGTATCTGGCCTTAAGATTTTGACTAGGAGTGTGTGTGTTTTTATATATATATATATAGAGAGAGAGAGACAGACATTTATTCACTGCTTTTTCTCTTTATCATATTTCCTGCTATTTAATGTGTTTCATTATGGAATTGTTTAAGAGTGATTCTAGCAGACCAGCATGTATGTGTACTATTTATCTCAGTCCACATACCCCAAAGTATAACCTTTCTGGCATAATGCACTGGATAGATTTTATTTATTTTCTTTCCTTTTTATTTTCAGTATGCAATATTTTTTTTTAAATATTAGAAATTATCTTATTTTTTACTTTTATTTATTTATTTTTAGTATTGTTTAGGATTTCTTTAGGAAAAAGATGATCAGTTTTCATTTTTTCTCCCTCATATTTGTCCCTATTGGTATAAAAATAAAATATTGATCCTGTGATATGCTAAGAAATATTTGGTTGTGTCATAAAATGCACTTTATTATCTTCTGTTTCTTTTGTTTCAGGTGTAGAAGAATCAAGAAATGAGAAATTATTCAAGGCTATGCTATATCAAATGACACCTCAGACACAGGTTAGTATTAGATATTAATGCAAATAAACCATTTTATATATTTGGCTTAGATTAAATTAAATATGATTATACACACCAGAAAAATCAAAACTTGTTCCTTTTGATTTTAATTGAAATACAGGGTGTGATGGATTTCCAATTTATATTTTTAATTTCACACATGCATATTGTTTGTTTTTGATTTTGTCAACTGCACAGTATAGTAGGGTCAGTTGGGCAGTATCTGTAAGAAAAAGAGCACCATGACGCAAATCACTCCACCAGAAATTTGGAAACTCCATGCTGTACTGCTTGACATTCATGCTAGAAGCTCCAATCCAAACATTTCAGAGTGTTTGGGTGTCAATCTGAGGACAGTGTAGAGGATTCAGAAAAAGTTGAATGAGTCTAAAAGGTATGGCTGCTCAGAAAACTCACTCAGATTGTTCTGATAAGAACTCCTGAATTTGTTGGTGAGATCCAGGCCATGATTGAAAACTATCCCTCCAGGTCAATCAGGTCTATAGGTAGTGCTGCTCTGGGTCAAGAGGATTGCTGCTGGAAGACCCTGTCTGGCAACGACTCTGCACCATGCTACACAAGCAGGCGAACACAGTCATGGCTGTCAGACAATTTCTGCAGCCCCTTACAACTGGCCACCTAACTCCCCAAATTTCAACCCCCTTGATTATTATGTGTGGGGAACAGTTGAGTGAGAGACCAACAAAACTCCCTGTAATACCAAAGATGAACTGAAGGAAAGGATAATGGTAGCATTCACCAGTTTGAACTAGGAGATCACCCAGAAGAGTTTCAAGAGATTCTGCAGTCATCTGTAGGCTGTGGTGATTTTATTGAAGAAATTTACTCTTTAGTATTTCAAGATATTTTTATGTAATTTTGGTAAATATATTTGTTAAAATGAGATGTCAGTGTTATTTTCATTTTTGTGCAATTTAGATGACAATTTATCCATTGTGCACTGTATGTATATATTAGTGGCTTGGAATGAGAAATCCAAGAGCCAAGTTAAAATTACAGTTGATTCTGGAACATTCGCTTATCCATAAATACCATGAATCCATCCATCCATTCTCTCCTCCAGCTATGGGTTAAATAGTAGGAATGACTGTACAATTTAGCCTTGGTTGGTAACCAGTCTATAAGAAAGACAATTCTGAATTCAAAAAATTGGAGGGAAGCTGTTTGGAGATCTTGTGGCATACTATGTGCACCAGTTAACCATATTAATTTCTAAAAAGTATAGACAATTTTGCACATGCCTCATATGCAGAAAATGACAGAAGAGTATGTCGTATATATATATATATATATATATATATATATAGTGTTAAAATGAGATGTCAGTGTTATTTTCATTTTTGCATAATTTTGATGATAATTTATCCATCACACCCTGTAGTTTTATTTTTCCATTAAAAATTTGAACCATGATCAGAAAATTTATTATATGAGAACTAAAAAAAAAAAAAAAATCTGCAAATTTTTTTTTTTTTTTTATTATTATTTCAGTTGACATTTTCTTACTGACATGAAAATTGTAACATCTTCATTCGTTCGTTTTTGAAGTAATTTGATAAAAATCTTGATTACAATACTATTTTAACTTTGGATTAACAGGTGGTCTTGCTACTTTTCATGCGGAATTTTTATTTTCTTAGAACAAACCCCAACAAAAAATAAATGTTTCTGCAGCATTAGGAAAACCAGCCAACATTGAAAGAAGCAGGAAAAGTCCTTTAAACATTGCATCTACCAGTAATTCCACAGTGGAATCAAAAACCATTGAAGTTGAAAATGCTTCCCCTCCACCTAAAAAAGTCAGAGAAATTCACATTGACATGTAAGTTTCTTTTCCGCCTACTTAATTTACATAAACAAAAGTGTCTCCCTCCACTCTTCTTTTTTTTTTTTTTTTCTTTCTTTTTCAGAGAGGAGAAAGATCTAAATAGGCAATATAATTTTTGGGGTGCCAGTATCATTTGATAAAACATTACATTATTAAAGAAAAAAAAAACAAGAAATCATTAAGATCTAAAGCCCACTTTGAGATTTACAGTTTTGTTTCTTTTACTAATATGGTTACACACAAACTGGTATTATCATGCTATGTATTAGACTGTGAAAATGACTTTCCAAACTAATTATAGCAATCTACTCCTATGGATTGGAATTATTTACCAAAGTTAAATAACATTTTGCCTCCTCATTAAATATTAGCTAATTCATAATTTCATATTTGGATTGTTAAAAAAAAGAAAAAAAATGACTTTGTAAAAATCAGAATATTTCTACCTTGTAAGTAAAATATCTCTCAAAATTTGTCAGTGTACAGTTTTATCTGAGAATGGATTATTATCTCCAAATTCTTCAAAAGATATGAATTCTTTTAAATTTGGTTTCATTTCTTAGCTATGAACATTACCCACTTGATATTAGGTTTTAATCTTAGACATGTCCTGCAATTAAACTGTAGCTGAATTTCTTTCTACTATTTTCTAGTGATGTCTCTGAAGAGGAGTCACCTGTTGTCTCAAAGCCTCTCTTGCAACCAACCATTGAACCTCCTGCACAGAAATCAGTGACTACATCAATGAAATCTACACCTGCTCAGCCATCATCTGTTGTCCATAATCCTGTCCTTGATATTAATGTTCCTCAAAAACAGAAACGTATTCTGGTTGTTCCAAATCATCAACAATCAGTTATGTCTAACCTTTCATCTTTATGGAAGGCTGGAAGGTTATGTGATGCCTTTATTAGCAATGGTACAGTCAATGTAAAGGTAAATACTTTTTTCTGAAGAGCTCTTTAATATTTTCAAGTTGTTATATTCTTGATCCTAGACTTCTTGAGGATCTATTAACTTGTATTTGTCTATATGCCTAGTTTCACAAGATTCATAACATAACCTGTGAATAAAATTCTGGTTTTGGTGATGAGAATGGTTTCACTTAACCTGTCAACCTGTAGTTTTTTCTTTTTTTTAATTGGTCATTAACATTCAGTACTCATCTCTCATATTCTCTAACAATGTAATTATTTAAACTATTTACATTGTTCAGACTTTTGTCCTCATTTTTGTTGCCATATTCACAATGTTTTCACTGTTGTATGCTCTGGCCAGCTTCAGGTGATTGGAATTTCAAACTGAACCATTTATTTTGCCATATGGCCCAGTGGATAAAGCATTGGTTGGATCCAGTGACTAGACCCAAAGAGTTGTGAGTTCAATACCTGGCTACTGCAGTGATGAACAAAAACTTGGGAGTTGAGTTAAAGGAGGATAACTGAAACATCTGGAAGAGGCATGACACGTGGAACTAGAACAATATATGCTGGTGGACGAAATAAAGGGTTTAGTTTGAAATTCCAATCATCTGAAGAAGGCCAGAGAATACAATGGCTAAAACATTGTGAATATGTCAACAAGGATGAGGACAACAGTCCAAACAATGTAAATAGTGTAAATAATTACACTACTTCATCTCAGAAATATATATGGATCTCTAACAATGTGCTGAAGAAAGGAAGATTTTTGCAGTATTACTATTTTTATGAAATTCATGCAGTATGAATTGACAAACATGAGACATTAAAACTTTTGTTTCCCTCAAGGTTAAACATTATCATAAACAACAAGGATGAGAGAACAGAGACAAAACTAAATCTGGTTTATTATTCAAGACTGATTTTGTTTTATTTGGTTGATTGCATATTTACATATTTAAAATGTGATATTACTTTCCTAATATAAATTCAACTTTGCTTCATTCTTCTCTGGAACTTTATCCAAATAATTTCACGAATGTCACAAAAAGTGAATAAATTCCCGCCATCTCAAATTTATAAGTTGGCAATAGGGTGTCTTCTTTCCTAGAATAATTGATTCTTTCATTCACTATGTTCATATTTTACCTATCCACTCAACAAGACTGCTCAGTATACACGCATTCTTGTCCATGATACTAATTATATATAGGCACCTGGTTGTGGCAACAAATTTTTCCCTTTTTTTTGTTATTAGCACTCAATACCCAGTTAAGAGTACATGTTGTAGGCAAGGAGTGTCTTTTGTCTGGTTGAAATTTACACCTGCCTTGACACAAGATAAAGTTGTCTAGTGTTGATTCATTATGTATCAATGTTAGTCTGATAGGCAGAATGCTGAAATAACATTCATTAATTTTGTCTGGATTTTGCAGAATTTTGGTAAATGTATTAATTTTGTCACCACAATTGAGAAGTGGAACAGGAAAAATTCAGTTGCACTGAATTTACTAAATCTTACTAGGTTTATTTTGGGTTCTAATCCCACTGATCCATTCTCCTAAGCATTTTATAGGTTCTGTTTAATATTTTTAAACCAAACTTTCTTCTATCAGATTCCAATCTGATTAGTTTTCTATAATTTTTTTCCACTTGGCATTTTTATTCCTTCACTTAATATTCTAGGCTCTCTCAATACTAATGTCACTAAATGACATTTGATGCACTATTCTGATTCCACCATGGTCACTACTCTGTTACAATGTTCTTTTTTGTTTCTACTAATCATCTTCACTTGTTAAAATGTATTTGGATAAAGATTTTTTGTTTTGTTTTTTTTTTTTCTTTCCACAATTTTTTTTAAAATCTTGATTCCTAAACTTAAATAATTCAGCAAACATAGACCTTCATGCCTGCAATAAGGTGGAGTGTCAAGTGGTTTTTCGCATGACACTGTTGTTTTTAACTACCTTCACTCTTCAGCAATGTTTATTTTAAAAGATGATGATTAGAATTGGAATAAAAGTTAAAAACCTAAATATATGATGAAAGTGAATTTATACATTTTTTTTTTTGTTCTTGAGAATTTACAACAAAAATATTAATCACTATTTATTAATTAGATTGTACATTTACAAGAATAATTTTATATTTACAACATTCTAAAAACTAATACAATTATATTAAGAGTAATGCAATGAAATATTCATCATTTACCAATTTATAAAGAAATAAATATAATTTTTTGAAATGATACTCATTGCCAAAGAAGGAATGTTAAAAAAGCGATGTCAAGGGAAAAACTCTTTTGACACCCCATCTTATTGCAGGCACAAAGGTCCATGTTTGCCAATAATTCTTTAGGCTTCACTTGTTAAAAATATTTGTTATTTTGTTTGGATAAAAAATCTAAACCAGAAAAATTAAGATCATGACATAAACTTGATATTAACTGGTTAGTGATAATATTATAAGTTGTTCTGAAAATGCTTTATTTTCATGTTTAAAACAGTTAAATTTTCTTTGTACTTAATATCAGTTGCTTTGGGAAACTGATTATATTAGCAGTAATATTTTTCAACATGACTTGTTTTTGCTAGAATATTATAAATCTATATAACATGAATGATGTCATTTTAAAATCTATTTTACTTTTTTTATAGGTACATAAAATGATTCTTGGTGCTGTGTGTCCTAAAGTGCTTGATGTTTTCTACAGTACACCTCAGCATAAGCTACCAAAAGTGACATTCCCCAATTCTGTGAGTAAAGAAGCTCTTCTGGCTTTTGCTGAATATATGTACAACGGTGTATTAGATTTGGACCCTGACCTACTTGCCCAGATGAAAGTCATTGCTCAGCGGTTGGATATGAAGGACTTTGAACAACTCTGCAACAACCAACTGAAGTCATCTTTGGTACCAAACGTGCTGCCTACAATACTAGAGCCAATGTTAAGTGAGCCTTGTTCTTCATCTGGTCTTATTCAGCAAATGTCACCTCAAGGTAATCAAACTTCTATTATGGAAATGATTCCTGCCTCAACCAGAAATCATCAAAAAGATGCACATACTGCCGAGTCTTTGGATGCTATATCTACTGCAGTCAGTAACTGCAGTAACTCTGTCTCTCTCTCAAATTTGCCTTTGGTAGAAGTCAGAGCAGAAACTGATGATACTCTAATGGAAGTTGTAAACAATAATTTTGCTCTTTCTGTTGTTAATGATAACAACTGTGATATTAATGTGAATAGCAGACCTCAGGTGAAGATAGAGAAGGTTGACCCTGAGGACCAACAACAATATGGCAGGGAATCTGTATCCTCTAGTATTAATTATTCCACTTCAGACAGTATCATTACAAGTAATTTCACAAACTTTTCTAACCCAGACTTATCACAATCATCTTCATCTCCCATATCAACGTCACAACACACAGATAATACACTCAACAAACATTTACCAGGAGGTCATGTTTGGAAACAAAGTAATAAAGACAAAAGAAATACAGTTGAAGATGTGAACAATACAGACCCTTATCCTATTAGCCTGTTTACAGCTAATTGGGCCAATCTACCATTACTTACAAAAGAAATTAAAAAGGAGTACAATGTTGAATGATACTTATTGTAATAATAATAATTGGAGTCAAGCAAGTTCTGCGCATTTTTGTCTTACTATGGTCAGTCAACCAAGAATTCAATTTCAATACGTAAAGTCATAAATTTGGATGCCTAATCTGGTATGGTGTTATCAAGCTCATCTCGTTGACCAATTCACTGGGTGCCCATATATTGTGTCCTTGTGCCAGTCTAAGCTCAAAGCTCATCTTAGTAAATATCTCTTATCATTTAGATTTGTCCCCATCATTTTTATCATTTTCTTGTTATATTTGCATTCTCAAATGATCTTCTGTTCACTACTCCTTCAGTCTTGGCACTCTTTGCTTTTGGTCATCAAACAGGAAATGGTGTTCTATGTAAAGATCAATGTGTTTTTTTTTATTTATGTTCAAGATATTTGTTAGGGTTGCATCCACATCGATATATAATATCACATATAACACACTTTCATATGTTTGGCTTCACTTTGAAGACTAAATTTCCAAGAAAACTTACCAATTTTACTAGTTGTAACCATGTTCCTGAATCAAATTTTCCCTCTTCTAAAATTTTCTTTTCTTCTTGAAGAAAAGATTGTTTGGAAGATAGAGAAATGGATAAGCAAACCATTCCTATCCACCTTTAATATATTTTCTGGAATTATGGTAATTCCAATGACATTTAATATTTGAAAGTTTATATTAATTTTTTTTTTTTTTTCTTTTTGATACATTTATTTATTTTCTGTATATGATGGTATATATGTGGATTCTCTGGAATAGTTTACCTGCCTGTGAACATGGGGATGCAAAAGATTTGCTTTAAGGTTTTACCATGAATCTGTCATCGTAACATGACAAAAGAACTAATTTCCTACTCAGGGGGAACATATTTGAGCAAATATAGTTTTAATCTTGTATGCTGCCTACAAGTAGCACAGTTTTTATTAAGTAATATTTAAAGTTGAGAACAATAAGTTGATGCTTTAAAATGGATGAAATCCAGTTATATTCACCTTAGAAAATTTTTTTAATTAAACTATTTTTCTTTTTTTTTTTTTTCTTTTTTTGTATTAATTGAATCTTTTTCAAATTACTTTTGAGACATAGAATATTCAAATCCTTTCTGCAGAAATAGAATTCTATTTTTTTATTAGTTTTCAAACTGCTGCTATTGGAACATTTCAAATATATTTTCTCTCATTATTCATTTTTTAGTTGCTTAGTCTTAAATTTGAAGTTAACTGTTAATGTGTCTCCATAACCAAATCATTAAGGCATTGTCTATGCAAGATATTTTCTCAAAAATATGGGATGCAAATTCAAATCTTGTTGCTGGCTACTTTTCTATTTCTAATCCAAGGTGTATACTTAACTGTGACAGAATGTCAAATAATTTGGACATTGCAATAAAAAGCAACATAAATAAGATAAAAGAAAAGAAACTTTGTCAAAACATTAAAACATATTTGATCTAAAAGATTTGAACATACTTTTCTCATATCTAAATAACTTAAATTTTTATCACAAATACATGTTCATATAATACAGAATCTTCATGACATGAATAAAAATAAGAGTTCCTTTAAGGAAACTAATTTCATTTACTTTCATCTTTTGGGATATATAATTTAGTGTGCAAATGAAATTCAAAGATGAAAATCAGTTCACATCATAACATAAATTTCTTCGATAGACATATCATTTTACTAGGTACCGCCACAGATTCAAGATACCTAAGATTTAAAATGAAAAATCTTTCTGGAAGTTTTTATTTTAGTTTAAATTTAATATTTCAAATAAGCAATATATGTTTTTCTGTATTTCAAAACAAATTTAAATTGACTGTAAGGAGTTTTTTGCTAAGATAACTGATTTCAATGTCATTTTTAGCCATCGTTCATTGCAGTGTAATTCTTTTTATTAAACAAAATCTTCCAAAAATAAAATATGCTTTCCTGAAAGCGTATTTGAGGATATTAGCTGATTTAAAGTTTAATTAATCTGATTTGAAGCAAATATTACTTTAAGTTTAAAATATTGCAAAAATGCATATTTTTAACATGGCAGTAGCTGTTTATTTAAGGTGTTGACATGATGACAGCTTGAATGACAGATGGCTGTTTATCCAATGTTTTTTCTATGGTGGATATATCTGTAAAAATAATTGAACATAATGTGAGCACCTTTTTTATATAAGTACTCGGTCATCTTAAAAATTTAGAAAAATATTCTCCATAATCTAATGTTTTATTGAATTTTAGATACTTTGGCTTTTAAATTTACTATAGTTATCACTCTTATTTTCTGATAATGTTGTGTATGAACAACTGTATCGACAAAAATTAGCACATTTATACACATACAAAAAAAAATTCAAAATTCTTTTTAAAATACTGGGGTCCTTAAATTGTAATAAGCTTTTTGGTTTATGATTAGTAAATATAATTTTTACTTAATAACAATATCACCTAACCATTACACAATTAAAACAGAATTTTAAAAGATTTAAAACTTTATAAATTATTCTAATAAATTTTTAAAAAAATGAAAACAATTCTTGTAAAAATTCATTATTCTTTGAAAAAAAAAATTCCTTAAGACAATAGTGTCCTTAATATATCTTATTCATAAAAGCAATTAAAAATTTTTCTAATTAAAAAATGTTTTCATTTTATTGTATTTTTTATTTTATGATTCAGAACAGATTTCTGGTAAGTTGGGGTCCTGTTTTACAAAAAAAAATTGATTTAAATTCTCCAAAGAGTTCTGCTCTTAACTTATATAAATATTAAGCATTACACCATTGAATTTCTTTAATTTTCATAAAATGAAATAAATGGAGGGTAACAGGCATAAAAAAAATATTTCTAAAAAAAAAAAAAAAATTAATAAAATAATTTCACTCATTTGTGAATAAGTTTTGAAAGTTTCATTAAAATCTGATAATTATTTGATTTTTTTGCAAGAATTTCTAATTCAATGTGTGTTTCACTGCAGAAAAGATGCTAAAATTTACCATGTTAATTTATAGTCCACCTGCTGATGCAAGAAAAAGATTTTTAAGCAAAATTTCAAACATTCTAAAAAGGATTAAAAATATAATTAAATAATCAAAAAAATCCTTTAGTCTTACCTCTTAATAACATTAAGATTTTAACAAAACTTTGTTTTGATCAAATTTGGGGCCTTTCATCATGGTATGCTCTTTTTTTCAGTGAATTAGTAGAGGTACCTACATTTTACAAAGATTTTTCAGTACACTGCCAAAATATTTTAAATTGAACTTAATTTTTTTTAATGACTTTTTTCATATTAAAATTTAAGCTTATTCAGATAGCAATGATACTTGGCATTGCTGTGACCAAGTTTCTTTTGCCTCATTTCCTTGTTTGGAAGATTTGTATATGCTGTGAAATGGTATTAGCTACATTGTAATTAAAGCAGTTCAATATGTCTCGTCATTTTAATAATCATTTGTTTTGTATACAGAATGTAGGTCTTGTAGCACAATATTGAGCATGATAACACAGTAATTAATTAGTTATGATTTTGAATTTCAGTGAAGAAAGATTAATTTATTTCACATATGAACAAAACATTATCACAAGATATGAAATAAAGTGTCTCATCTGTTTTCGGCAATAAAATGTTTGCTTTTTTCTTCAAATAAGCTCTGTGAAGATAGATAAATCAATTATTAAACAAAACAAGTAACATTCTTCATTTTTTTTTTTTTTTTTTTTTTATAACAAAACTTAAATATTTCAGAAATTCTGCTTTGTTAAATTTTCAAAATACACTAATAAAAATATCAATATTACTTCCCTTCATTCCACGCAGTGGTCTAATTATTTACCTGGTTACCATTCTCTGACCACTCTGACCCAGTCACTATAATCTTAAACCCTTCAAGTATTGAATCAACTGTTATCTATCCTACCTATCCTCATAATATTTCCTCCTTGTATGCTCTTACAACAACCTCATTCAGTAACCTTCTACAATGAGTGGATTTGGATTGTTGTATTGGATAAACAGTAGTATAAAAAAACTGTTTAAATCTGTTGACTATGAGTTGTGTGTATGTACAGTTGTGTGTACAGGTTTACACAAAATAAATCCAGGACGATGCTTTCATTTACTTCTAACCTTAGAAACA